CCAGTGAAACTGGATTTGGCTATAGCGCTTGCATGCTGTATGGGGTTTTTTTGTTTTTTGGTCAATTATGTAATGATACCTATGTTTCTGCACAGATGAAACTGCTTTGGAATAAGATACATACAGAGATGTGTAGGGTATGGAATTGCACAGGCTGTTGGGCTGAAAAGTCATTGCCTCAAAGAGTCTGAGGCTTAGACCTCCAAAATAAATACCCTTTAGGGAATAAAACCGGTTCTCTGGTATATAAAGATATGAATCCCATGTATGTAATTAAAATAGTAAAACAAAGTAGTTTTAAAGCTTCCTAAATATAAATATGGGTGTGTCGTAATGCTACCCAGGTTTAATTATCTATCTTCTATGCTAAAACAAGGGAGATCCAGGGAATGCCTTTTGATGTATGTTAATATCCTGGTGCGATCGGAGACATTAAGGCTATTATAAATGTCTTATATTGTTCATTTCACGCAGACATCAGAACAAAATTATTGTTAGGATTTAAATAAATGTTTGAATGAGCACTTGGCTGCTTCAATTCTGTAAATAGCAGGCATCAGATGCAAGGTTTTGCAAATCCTTTGTAAATGCAATGACTTTAAGATTGAACAAACGCTGCTTTAATGCTTTAATTGGTCATACATTATTGATGTTGATCTATGCCCATAATAAATCTTTGATTGGATTCTGAACTTTTCTAAATCCAGGGACAAGGCTGCCTTTGTTCTGAATGTGTCTGGAAGTGGTGTGTTGGAAGCCAATGTACCGCTTTGGAGTAAAGAAACTGTGATCACTCCCCATTCTCTCTCCTCTTCCTCCTCCTCAGTTCAATTTCTAAAGCACCTAATAGCCAAAGCTGTGGGTTTGCAACAGCCCATAAAATACAATAAAAACCAAAATCCAGGTAACAACAAAAACAACAGCCAGCATCATTTGTAATAAGCAGAGCAAGTGACCTGAGTTTTTAAAAGGGGGGAAGGCTGCAAATGTCCATGCAACCTTGAAGCTCATTTCTGATTTCTTAATCATGTTTTATGTTAGATCTGTACCCAGCCATAGAAGTATAGCCAATAAGATGGGTTGCTTTTCTCTGCAGTTGATTTGTTGAGGAGAAATGCTACTGTGTTTTCTGTAGGAACTACCCTAAGGTAAAGATAGCTGAAGTCTTAATTAAGGATGGTAAGATGCAAACGTGCTAATATACTTCAAACACTTTCACGTGTGATATGGGATAACACATTTTTCTTTGCTAATTTGTCTGCTTTGAACTTGTTAATATGGTTGTCACAGTATCTAAAGTGGGAAACACTTTGTTTTAAGTAAGATAAAAGTCCCTACTTATTTGACTATTTAATCTGAATGATCTGACAGATCCACATTGTCCTCTTTCTGTGAATGGAAATGGCTTAAGCGGCAGATTACTGTAACTGCTGAATGTGAGACATCGGATCTTGCTGACCAGCTGGTCTCTCCTAAAATAATGCAAGGTGGAAAGCCACTATGTTAGGTGGGGTTTGCTTTCATGAAGGGTTGCAGCCCAAACATAGGCAGAACTGCAACAAAGTTTGGAAATTTGGAAATTTGTAATAAGGAACTGCAACAAAGTTTGGAAATTTGGAAATTTGTAATAAGGAACTGCAACAAAGTTTGGAAATGTGAGTTTATGATGATGAAGCAGGCAGTTAAGTGACATAATTTCCCCCCATGTTTATACTCTTGTATTAAGTGGATACTACACTGCCACACTGTGCTTATGTATGTCTTCATTCCTTGCAAAATTGATCAGCAGGAAACAAAGTCATTATACAGTGATCTGCAGGCAGTCCGTATTCTCTGATGTAATGTACTCATATGGTATGTGTGTTTTCAAACATGTACCAGTAAGCTTTGCATTGTAAGTGTGTATCTGGATCTTCAGAGAGTTCCAAAAGAAGTATGAAGAAGCCCATGTATCAATAGCACGGATTGCCAAGTAGTGGCAGGGACGATTGTGTGTCCTTCTCTGGACAGTGGCTCTGGTGGGTTGCTGGTTTGACATCCTGTCGGATGAATGTAACAGGTCCTGAAAGCATCTTTGGATCAGAACGATGGTGCTTCACTTTGTGATTTGAGATGAGTACTACTAATTTGTAAAAATTAGTCTGTTTGGAAACATAATTGTGCCAGTCTGAATAAAGCCCTCTGATGCAGTGGAAGATGGGTAGGTTTACTCAAACAGCTTATCCTGTGTGCTTGGGCTGTACTCAGGGCAAAAGACAAAGATGCAACATAGAAAGTGCAGATTGCACCTAGACGGCCTGTGAGGCATTTATTGCTCACATGTAATTCATTTCTCATAGTTGTTTGTGGGTTCTTTAGACAATGCTCTGATCCATCGCACTTCTGTTTTAAAGAGCATGGAGCAAATGGAGTATTACTTCTGAAAGCAAGAGAAATGATTCCAATTGTTATTATAATTGGAATAGCTACAATTACTTGTATAATTGTGATACTGTAGCACCATCTAGATTTTATGCAATAGAAAAGGAAAAGTTTTGATTTCAATTCTTCAGTGAATCAAAAAGCAAATTAAATCAATTAACAGCCTTGTGTCGAAAAGTTTATGTGGAAGGAGGGTTGGGTAGACCAGTTGTTGCTCTTGAAACTAGCTCTCTTCTACAAGCTAGTCATTGCTTTTCTGTTTGCAAAGTCTTCTGGATTGTTCTTTTGCATACTATGCCACCCTAAGCTATTTTTCATTGAATAAAATGTCTGGAAATGATTGCAAGTCTCGGATGCAAACTTTGCTATAAAATGGGAGTAGAGTAGGTGTATCCTGTAAGTAACATTGGAAGGAGCTTTTGCTTTTTTTGTCTTAATTTGTAGCCAGCTTTTCTGTTAACCGGTTATTTTGCATGCCCAGTGTTTAGTGGAGATAATTGTATTTATTTATTTAATTGGTTTCAAGGTCACTCTCAGAGGTTCTAATAAAATTTAAAAACATAAACCATGAATTAATACATAAAAACAACGTATAGGATAAAACAGTAGAAATACAAATAAAGGCAAACATACAGATAACCATATGACATTCATACTCTAAAAATCTGGGCAAATAAAAAGGTATTCCCAAGGACCTTTGGGAACAAGGCACCAAGGAACATAAACAAAACCCAGACCAAACAAAAAGCCAGAACATACACACGAATTTTAAAAGGACAAACCTCAAGAGCATTCCAGAATCGAAGTGGCACAACTCAAAGGGTCTTACGACAATGACACCTTCCGCTTCACCCTTCTAGGCTGTAGGACCACAGGTGGAACACCTCCATAATGGCAGGAGAAGGGAATCGTTGGGGCTAACGGGTTCTAAATCATGTATGCACGGAGCTGCTTGGGTGATCCCAAATCCTGCTGCCAGGACCTCATTATTTGCAGCTTGACACTGTCTTGTCATTTAACCTGCATCAGCTTCTGAAGTATTTCTGACTGACTCCAGTTCAAAGTGTGGGTTGAGCTCCTCTGTGCCATTTGGATCCAGAATAGCTATAGAACCAGCTGCGCTTGCAGGAATGAGCCTGCATGTTAAACTCCAGTGTCTGGTCCCCCTTCCTCTTTCCTTTTACTTCCAGCTTTCAGGAAAATGGGTAAAGCGGTTATGTTTAGACATGCGTTTAATGCTGTCTGATTGCAAGAGCTTTGTTGATGCTGCTGCTGCATTTAAGTTAGGGTGTAATCCTACCGAATGTGCTGCCAGTGCTTCTAAGCGGCGAAACCCAGAAGTGTCCAGGGGAGTGTGGGGGGAATCCTTACCTTCCCACCACTCCTATTCTGCCATTCAACTATACATGGCTGATTTTTGCCCTCAAACTGCAGCACTTGGATGGAGAAGACCCATTCATTCCCACTTTCCCTCTGGCTCCAAAATTCCTTAAAAAGGCAGTTCTTTTATTTAAACTCCACAGATAACAGAACCATTTGAGCGCCAAATAACCTTCTACCATAGTTGACAAGAAAAGCATCTGCCCATGGAAAGTGTTGAATCCAACCAGGAAATTTTCCCTTGGTCCCTCCCTTTTGGTGAAGCTTTGGGCTCTGCCCTCAGGGTGGACGGTTAGGGTTAGGGCACTGCTGAAGGAACTTCAGAGGCTTCGGTCCCCTTCGCTCCTGCTGCTCTTCAGAACCCTCTGGACAGTCTGCCATGTGCGAGAGATGGGCCCCAAGGAACCTACAGGAAGGAAGACGGTTGGAGTGGCTCACCTGGCCCCCTTATCGCCTTTCCACAGTTGATGCTTTGACTGTGGAGAAGCAGCCAGTGCAGTTCTTTGAGTACCATTTCTGAGAAATGGGGAGCAGGACCAGACCACACATCTCTACATTGCTGGTCAGAACTCTTTTTCTGACCTCCTGGGAATCTGAATTATCCTGTGGACACCTAAACACTGACCAAGGGCTATAGGATTGCTCTTCCCATTGTCTGTTCTAAATTGGCTTTCTCGTTGCCATTTTATTGTGCTTGTATGCGGCTTTGGCACCCATATGAGGTTGAAAAGTAGCATTTAAATATTTGTATAAATAGAGACACAGAAGCAAATCTTTTATGACAGTATTCTAAAGGCTCTGTAACAACATTAGTGAGACCTAGTTTTAATAAATGAGTTGCTAAAATGAAATAATAATTAAGGGAATACGTGATCAAAAGTACAAATATTTTGATGGATTCTTGGCTACACAATTAGATAGGTCAAATAGAACTTGATTTTTTAAGGGTTAGCATTTTCTGCGCTTGTTTGATATGCTACACATGATTTTAAAGGATTTCAGTTTTTAGACATGGAAGGGTAGACTCTAGCCATCTGTATCGTACAATTAAAAATCATCAACTTAAAATATGTTGCTTATTGAATATTTTGCTGCATGTTCAGTGTTAATTGTGGAAATACAGAGTATGTGTTAAAGAGAGAGAGACCAGTACTAAACTGCATTTAGTAATAAAATGTTATGTTTCCATATTTCCCCAGTGTGACAATGCAAAGGGACTTAAAGCCTTCTATGATGCAATAAAATATGGACCTACGCACCTAATGGTTTTTGGTGGAGTATGTACAACTGTAACATCCATCATTGCCGAATCCCTAATAGGATGGAATTTGGTCCAGGTAAGCAACAACAACCTGTATATGTGTAAGTTTCTGAAACTTAAATGTTAGGACATTTTTTGGAAAACTGATTGTTTCTATTATTAATAGTTCCATTGCAGGAGTAGGTGGACCTTAAGCACGCATGATGTAATTTTACTAGAAGTTAAAAGTCTGTCAACAGACTCAGTGTGGGTCCGGATTCAACATGGTGATTTGAGGTAGAAACACCTGTTTACTTTACTCAGTGAGTCATATACTGAAATGACCTGCACAGGTAAACACAAATCCAATTCCGAATCCCTAGAGATCATGGATTCCAAAGACCAGGAGAGATGAACAAAGAACTGCTCAGATTCAACTAATGCATACAGCTACTTTATGCTGATCCTGGGAGAGAAGCCCATTGAAAACATGACAATGGATTTTCCTTTGCATTTGCAGTCTTTTTTAGGGCAAGTAGGTTGTGCCAGCATTTTAAATCAGAGTCCCATTTCAGAACACTGAAGGGCAAGCTGGAACATGCAGGGAAGTGCGGGATTCTTATTTCTGTATTTGCAGAAATGGGTTGCACCCAACATTTCCGATACGCACTTCTTTGGTATGTAGCCAAGTGCATGTGGAATTGTATGCAAGCCCTAATCCATCCACTTCAGCAAGATGTTTATTTAATGATTAGCAAGTTTTTTAATTAATAGCAATTGGGGGTGGGATTTAACCTTTACCTCCTCAGCTGTGATCTCGATGATAATCACACATGGGGTGGCACTGGGCAGTAATTAGCTTTAGGAAAAAGGCTCCTAGTGGTTAAATTTAATTTAATTTAATGTTTTTCTATGCTGTCCCATTACTATAAAAGTCTCTGGATGACTTACAAAGAACAAGCTCGTGTTCCTTTCCCTTCACATACATGGTTGCTAACTATACAATACAAATAATGTCACATTTTGCTCTAAGAATTAGCCTGTTCCTACACAGCCTGAAAATTTACACAAAACCAGCAGATACTGCCATGCTGTGTATTCCTATATTCTTTTGTTAAAAATAGCCAAAATCAAAACATGCATACTTGGTCTACTAAAACTCTCTTTGGATTTCACTCTTGTTAACTCACATGGCAAAGAGCAGAAAACTGCAAACTGCCAGTCCTTACAATTAGCCATAATGTAATTCTGGTTTGTTTTTAACAACGTTCCTACTCTGCAGGTAAGCCCCAAACAAATATTTTGGCAAATAGTATTTAGAGAGGGGTGCTAGAAGTCTCACTACAGTAGTCATAAAAGCTGCCAGAAGAGCTAACTGCTTAAGTCCTTGAATGCTTCTTGCCACGTCCCTCCCTTGTAGGCTAATACCATTATTTATTTATATGCAACATTTGCATGCTGCCCAGTTCTGCCACAGCACCTTTGGGGTGCTCACAGTCATGTGTGGCTAAAGAAATACAGTTCGGTCCTGTGTAAGCCCGACTGTGTCATTTCCAGGAAAGCCTTAGGGTTCCTAAAGTCGCTCAGCCTCATTGAACACATACAGAGCTTACTTCCATGTGAAGACACATCAGGTGGTGGTGTAAGTCCGTGATCTCCATGGTGGGCACGGGGAAATCAGGTGTATCGAAGATGGAGGGCTCAGCTATCGCTGCCGCTGTGTTCAGGCTTCAGCTAGCAATTTTCTTTTCCTGTGCCGGATTTTCTTCTGTCAGGCCACATTATGTATGGCAGTAAATGACACTGGAGGTGGAAGTCGCTTAAGCGTTAAAGATTGATGTGGCACCGATGAATATGGTTTAAACTCTCCGAGCCCTGTGATGGAGCTATTACCATAGCAATGCAGTCTTAATTGTATACTAGCCCAATTATAGAGGAAGGACAAAATTTGCCTATCTGCCAGGCTGCAATTTCATTAATCTTTTCAAGTCATAAACTAGTGCCACAACATATGGGCTAATTTCAACGTGCAGCGCGATGGATGCTGTGTAGATACAACACCTTGCTTCGCTACTAGAAAAAAATACTGCTTAGCGTGAGAAGTGCTTAAAGGAGGCAGCAGAATTCTTGGATTTTCTGTGCAGCGGTCGGCAAGGGCAAGGTTGGAGCGCCCAAAGCTACTGGGACAAAATAATGCTACACCAGTGTGGTGCAGAAATTGGAATGTTCCAGTAGGACTGGGTTTTTGTCCCCAGTCTGCCTTGAAACTGACTTTGGGTCAGTTACAGACTCTCAGCCTGGCCTACCTTGCAACTGGGAGGATAAAATGGAGAGGAAGGTGATCATGTATTCTGCCATGAGTTCCTGGAAGGAGAGGCAAGGTATGCATGTAACAAATAAATAAAAGAAGTCCTTATGTGCTTGGGAAGCATGTTCAAGTTTTGCAAAACAGTATTTTACTTGAAAGATCTTCAATCGGCACAGTAACTTAAAGCCTATTAAATTATCTGGTTGTCCCCTTGTTTGGTGTTCTCCAAGTGTATCTATTTTAAAATAGCCCCTGCTTCTATGTTGTTGGGTGTCTAACAAAGGAATGACAACTCTTAATAGTTCTGGTAACCTCACTTTGTTCTATAGCCATCACAGGAATGTGTAATTATTTTTCTGATGTCTGAACAGGAATCGAAACATGCAATGAGTGCCCTAGTCTGGATGCGAAGGAAACAGATTAGACTGATAGGAGGAGTTTATTTATTCTTATTATCTATTTAGTTGAGCCTATATAAATAAATTGGATGGATGGTGCAGGGAGCATCTGGAAGATGGCTGTGAATCACTGAGTTAGCTAATTTTTAAGGAGGAGCCGTTTTGTTGCAGATTGGCACAGTCTGGGTGCCTGCATTTACAGGAGAAATGTCACCTGTGAATGGAAAGTTAAGGTTTGCTGGCTGTGGTTTTAATTTTCTGTTATGTTCCCAGACTAATGTTGAAGCTGTGAACGTTGTAAGTGAGGTTTGTGGATCGTGAGCTGCGGGAGTGATGTTTCTGACTTTTCCATTCGATAGCAAGGCTGCCATGTCATACATAACAAACCCTCTGTATGAAATAGCCCTCTCTTTCGAAAGGGGTTTGAAAACTGCACATCTAAGCTTTTAACAAAAGAGGAAGTAAGGTCTTGATCCGGGTTCCACACCTCTGCCATAAGATAATATTCCCCCTGGGTGGGTGACTTTGGGCCAGTCACAGACTCTCAGCCCAGCCTACCTCACAGGGTTGTTGTGGGGATAAGATCAAGAGGAGGAGAATTGTGTTTCCAGGAAGGAAAAAGGGCAGGGTATGCAATGCTTGTAGGTGAACATCAGCCATGAAGTGGGGTGGGGACTTTATGGGAAATTGGTGTGAGCCCCCCCCCCCCCCCATCCAACAGTTCAGGTCAGGGCCTCCCCATCTGCTTTTTTCAACATCCTTGGACAGTTTGGCCCTGAGGAGCAGAGCTGAGCGTCTCACGGACCTCCAAGCCTCCTTTTGTGTTTCTTGGCTGATGTTTCCCTGCAGATTCAGTAGAGGCAGTGAGCGAGCCCCATGCCAGCAAAACATTGTCTGTGGAATTTTCTAAATTACCCTTAAAACAGTCAGTGGGTGAGACCATGCTTCTGTCCCCGTATCACACTGAGCAACAAAAGTGTGCTAGGAGAGCCGGTCTATTTAACTGTGACTCATTTGGCCCCTTTCTGTTCAGCTCAACAGCCTTCTAGAGACCCCATAACCAACTCTGGTTGCAGGTAGAGCAGAAGTGGAAGGATTAGAACCACTTGGGATGCTCTGTACATGTTTTGGCATAATAACTCGCCTCTGAAATTGTCCTCCTGTTTGAAAAGCAGTTTGGTGGGCTACTCTCTGAGAAACAAGGGCTCAAGGATCCTTAAGCAGTACGTTTTTCTGAGTCCTGGGTAAAGCCTCCATAGATATCCGAAATGGCAGCTGGTTCTCTAATTTGCAGCGTTGCAAATTATAATTTTATTTTTGTAGAATGTTTTATAGCTATATCTAGGCCTGAAAGCAGAGCACGCTCCTAGAGGTTTAATAAAATGGGGCCAAAAGGGATATAAAAGTGGATCCGGAGCTCTCCAAGCTGAACTTGGAGCAATCCGGATAATTGCTTGCTGCTGCAGTGTCGCCCTCTTGGTGCCCACCAGCTGCCTGTAAAGCACCGCTGGAAGTCACTGGAAGGAAAGTGTGTGTGTGTGTGTGTGTGTGCGCGCGCGCGCTTGGTTGCTTACCCTCCTTTTCAAGAAAAGACTTCTTAGCCATGGTGCTTTGAGGGAGAGAGGCAGGCTGGCAGGCCTGAGAGCTGCTAGAACCGCCGGCAAGGTCCATGCCCCTGTTAAATAGGTTGCTTTAGGGCTGCATCATCATCTCTGGAGTAAACGGAGACGCTGTGCAGAGGTGGCTGAAGTTTGACAAGGTAACACCGATATTTCTCCTTCTGCCATCATGCTCACCCCGTAAATTTTTTAGAGGTTTAGCAGTCTGTTAAAACAGTTGTTCCTTGGTGTCCGCTACTGTGTCTGCCTGCTGAGAATGATGCTGTTTCCAAAGTCTAATGAACAACTACAGGAAAAACAGTTCTGTTTTGACACATGGCTGCGTATGTCAGAAGGACTAAGTTATTCTGTTAAGAATAAAAGTCTGTTCTTTGTGCATGATATCAGTATCCCTGCCGATGCTTCCTACTTTGAGCCCATAGTGAGATTATCTGGAAAAATAATGAGCTATACCTTCTAATTATTTTCTCGAGGCTACGCCAGAAAGGAGCTGGTAAGGATTTCCATGTACAAGCAGCTTGTGAAGTCTGTGTTTGTCTTTTGGCTTTCCCAGTTGGCATTATGGGGTCAAGATATTAGCAGAGCTTCTTACTACTTTTTAATTTATACCCCCTCCCTTTTTCTTACAAAGAACTCAAGGCAGCCTACATAATTCTCCTCTCAGTGTTATGCATACCACAACAACCCTGTGAGGTAGGTTGGGCTGAGAGTCTGCGCCTGGTCCCGAACCACCCAAGCTGGCTCCATGGCTGAACGGGGACTCGAACCCGGA